GTTTGTTTCCTTTTGCAAAAGTCTTGCTTTCTTTTGTATACATATTGAGGGTAAATTGGTCAAACAAATATTCCATTTTATAATAGAAGGACGATCCATCTATCATATGGTCCTATATTCCGCTGTGGATAACTCAACCTTGCTATGTCATTGCTGATTATAGTTAGTCTCCTATCTCCAAGTTAGACATAATCACACATTTACCCATTATTAAGAAACATTGTATTGTAGCGTTCTTTACTAAATAAAATAATGGCTCACTATTGATTTTTGTTCTTTTGAAGTCTAAGTAAATTCATTACGAATTACTCTTTCGGTTTTTTTTTTTTTTTTGTCAACATATCAATCTCTAATTGGCTGAAAAAAAGAGAGTAAATTAACTAATTTTGTTGTGGTTATGGGTCGTGTACTCGTGTCCACCACTATTTTAGTATGGGCCTCTGTCCAACCCACAAGCTTCGCTCCGTCATTCGTCATTGTTGTGTTGCAGTAGATGGGCCAGCGTTCCCACTCATTTGGGCCTACACCATTTTTGTCAGTTGTTGGGCCTACACCATTTTTGTTCTTTGTTCTGTGAAAAAAAATTGTATTCCTTATATTTTACGACTGTAGTTTAATTCCTTTAACTTTTTATTTTGGTCTTTGTATTTTGTTTGAATTTTTAGGTTTAGTTTCCTTACTGATATAGCTCTACAAAAGCATAGCAGTTTCTTAAGTTTTAAACATTATATTTCAATAAGTGTTGAACAACACAAAAACCAGAATCATCCTCCGTTATTAAGTTGCTGTTATGGGTTGCAGTGGCTTCTGCTTGCGCTGTCATTGGTCAAGTCTAGAGCGGGAACATGCCTGTTTTGGTAGAACTATGACAAACAAGTGCAGTAATGCATGATTACAAAAAATGGATTAAAGCAGAAGCATTATTTAAGGACTTAGAAACAATTTATTTTATTAATACACTTATTTGGACACTTCTTATGTTACACGCTTCTTAAAAAAAACAATTTAATAATAATATTCTCACTTTTATTTATATAATAATAAGAAAGTGAGTAGCAGTTAAAGCTAATTGATATTTTCAGAGAAAAATGACAGACTTGATGGAGAAGCAAAGACATAAAAGTAGAGGAAAAAGAGCTTTTTGTAGAGACAAGATGCAGGTGTTTGGGAGTAGCAAGTAATGATGACCTAACAAGGGCTCATACTGGTGACTGAACCCCACCCTTCTCTAGTCCCAAGTCCACTCGTCACACATTTTCACAGCCTTTGTGTGATTGCGTGCACTCTGCCTCTGTTAATACACCCTATATTAATATTATTATTCTCATTATAGCCTATAAAAAACAAATCTTGTGACATATGACACGATGCCCAAACCAAAAGTCATTTCTGATATCTCCCTCCCAAATTGCTCTATGCGTATCGCCTACCATAAATAGCTTTTAAACGAGGATGTGCTTTTTAATTTGGGGCCATAAATGGTTAAAATCTAAATTTTATCTAACTCTCCTTTCCTTAGTTAAACCATTCCCATCCCTTCTCCCCACTTGGCCTTTCAAATTCAAGTTGTTATCTTCTCAATCTTGTAATTGCGAACCAGCTTTGTAAATGACTCCGAATACTCTTTTGAAGAAATAAACTTTCATTATACAATATTTGTTTATAATTTTAGAGCTAATGGTGTGGAATATAAGGATCTTTGTCCAAAATAGCAATGAGGGTAAAGATTTTCTTGCTCCATAGCTAGGGTACAAATTGTTTCAGGCTTTTAACACAAAGATTCTCTCTTTAATCGTCTTAAAGTACTTATCGCATCTATGGGATCAACGTTCGTGAACTTAGACTGAATATGCTGGGTGGCAAGAAAACAAGAAGCATACACGGGAAAATGGGTAAAAAATACCACAATACATCCAAAGAAGAATAAAATTTTTATGCTGTGGAAATTTATTATTAAAATATTTTTTACTAATATACAGTTTCTATGAAATAAAGGTGTTGCAGTTACTCACAAGAAAATACTGCAAAGAGAGAATATTGGATAGTTTGAAACCACACAAATGTGAGAATTTATGAGCACTTGATTAGGGATCTGATCATGGTTGGGCTAAGTCGTTCCGTTTGGGCCAATTCATTCTCATTTCTTGTTGAGCTTAATATTGGTGACAAAAAAAAAAAAATCATGTCGTCCAAAATATTTGAAAAAATCAAACAATTATTTAATAAGTGGTTATAAAAAAATATATATATAATTTCTTGCTCAAGTTAGAATTAATATATATATATATATATATATATATATATATAATTTTAAATTATTCTTTTAACTTTTTCACAAACAGCTGTAAATTTAATAGATTTATCTTTAAAGTTTTACAGTTGAAAAGTTCTCATAATTTAAAATTTAACACTAGCTGAACTTTATGTGCAGCAAGTTAAGTATGGGGTCGTTCATTCAAAGTTTTTTAAATAACTTTAAAGACGTAGAAAAGGAAATATATGAAAATATATACATATAAATACCAAGATATTTGATTTATGTTTATTTTAAAACATCTTTCAAATAAAGTTATAAAAACCTTAATAATCGTCTAATTAATTATAATGATGCTGTTTGATGGCTCAGTCAAGCTGGATCTAATTAAATTGAACCAAAATTAGTATTGAGCAAAAAGAAGTTCAGATTAGTCTACTTGATTTGATTAATTTGAATTATTTACACACTCATGTGGTACAAAGTACAAACAATGCAAGAAACCATAAACTCAATATTATTTCTCCTTGGTGTGATCAAAAGAAAAAAAGAGAGAATAAAACATGGCAAGTGTAGAGCATGGATTTATTATGAGAAAAACATCTAAACTTTACATATATCAAAGAAAACAACATAGTTATGATTTATCTATTTTGAGCTTTTTCCTTTTTTTTTTATTTTCTTCTTTGAAACAATGGGTGGTTTTTGTATACGTATCATAACTTACTATTGGAATAGAAGGTGATAAAGCAATTCCAGTTCCACGGGAGAAACGATGTATAGAAGCAAGTGATTGATCTAATATGATGTCACATGCAAATTCATGTGTTGGTCACTGCATGCGAAGTAACTGGCAGCCAGCAATGTTTCGATTGTTACATTTGTATGTAGGAAATGATTTATTGGTAGAATATTATGATTGTTGATTAGCTCCAAACACTCCAATCAAAAGACAAACAAGTCGTGACAATGGTAGCATATGGATAGCGAAAATAAAGCCTCAGACAAAGGTCGCAAAGCAAGGATTGTGAACTGCCACCAAGGTACGTACGGTTAAGCTCTTCATTGTTCATTCATTACTTCATCTGTATTATATATTCCAACAAGTCATCATCCACAAGGTAAATCATTATTATAACCCAATTTTTGGTAGGTATAAGACCCCACCAGTTTTCGATTCATGCATTCCATTCGAATGTAGCTCCTTCATCGTTCTGCAATGCGTCCTATAGTCTGCAATCCCTGTAGGAAGAAATAAAATTGTAGCACATTAGAAAAAAAAACAAAACTTTGAAACATTATCAAATAAACATTTTACAATATCACAGGAGTTTGTTCAAATGTTACCTACATCAATCTTTCATCCTGTTAAGCCATGCTTTGATTTAGTATGTACTTCACGCTTAAAAAATTAACCTTAATTAATGTGCGTCTATTGCACTAGAATGTATATGTAGACATGGATGAAATAAATAACTCAATTTAACATAATTGAATACATTTGATCTCGCTAAATATTATACTTTGTAATAAATTATATATATATATATATATCATTATATTTTGTAATGTTTATACATATTAAAAAATTTGTTAAAAATAAGCTAAAAAAGAGTTAAAATAGAATGTATTAACACTATAATCATGTACTACTTGAGTCTGTATTATTATTTTTTATATATTTAAAAATATAACTTCAGTAAATATTATTAAAAAAAACATATCTTATAAATTTAATAATAAAATTAATTGAAACAAACTCCAAAATTTTATTCTAACAAAATATATTTAAAAAGTACTACAAATTTTTTTTAAAAATATAAACTATTTTTAGAATTTTTTCTAAACACATATTTTATACACTCCAATTTAATTTTCGCAGACAGACTTTATAAGGGAAAGCATTTTGTCTCTCATGTTGTCTCTAGCAGTAGACGCCTTGACGGTGGTAACTAAGTACGAACAAATTTAACATTGTATTTTGTGGAAGTTTAATACATGAACAGTAAAAAACATTTTTACATTTTCTCTATATTTATTTTTTATTATCTTTTTTAATCATATTTTAATTTGATTTTTTTTTATAGAACTTGGTTTTTTTTTCTTATATCTACTTTATACATTGTAAATAAATGTAAAAATATCATTACTAGTTACAAGAGTTGAAGAGTCATACTCGACCTCAATTAAAATCTTCATCTTCCACGAGAAGCTTAGGTGGTTGATTTCATTCTGAGGTTATATTTGCTCTCACAACCCATCACAAGGGACAAAATTGCAAATTGCAACAAGGAGGCATGTAAATATTTTGATGTAAGGAAGTAATTTAAAAAGAAGCAGTAAATGATGTTTGATTTGAATATCACGAGAAAAAAGAGAGTACATTGAGATGTGACAAAGGGTACAGAGTATGAATTCGGCATGTCAAGTCGCTGTTCTTCTTTTATTGTTTTCCCTCAGTATTTAACGTTAAATCACATCATTTCAGAATTCAGAGCAATCCCGCAATTCTCTCTCTTCTTTCTTTCTTTCTCTCTCATTTACCTTTTCACCCTTTGAATTCTCCCTCTGACTTTTTCATATCTCTCTCTTTCTCACTGCATTTTCTTTTTTTATTGGTGCTTTCTACTGTTTTTCTTTCTTGGCATTTGGCATTTGGCTTGCATTCTTGCTGTTCACTTTTAATATTATTTTATGTTTATGCTCCAACCCCATGTGCCTTTGTTTTGTTTGCTTTTGAGAACTGCCTGAGTTGAGATGAAGAAGGGTAGCTACTAGCCAGCACAAAGATAGATAGAAAGAGAGAGAGAGAAAGTAGAATCTATAAGTTGTAGAAACTCACATGCAAACCCTTGTACCATTGCTTAAGGAGCCTTATTTTTTGGTTGCAAACAGAGGGAGAGAGAAAAGAGGGAGCCTGTTTCGTTCCAAACAGCACTGAAGAAATGACTAAAGAAGATGACTTTAAGCTCCTTAAAATCCAGGTCTTTCTCCTCTTATCCATCACATGCTTTCTGTCTTTTGAGACCCTTTTTCATTTTAATTTCGTTTTCTTTCAACACAGCAAAGTTGTTTATTGGTCTTATCCTGAGGAATCTTTCTGTTTTCTTTTGTTCTTTGCTTTGTTTCTTCTCATTTTCATCTACAGACTTGTGTTCTCAAAGTGAACATTCACTGCGATGGGTGTAAGCAGAAAGTGAAGAAACTCCTTCAGAGAATTGAAGGTCCTCACTTTCTTTTCATCTCTCTTGTTTTCCATCTCCTGTCTTGTCCATACTATTCACTCACTATGCTCATTCTTGTCTACATTATCTTTACCTTACCTGGTTTTCTTGACTTCAAAATGTACGGCACACCAAAATATTGTGTAATTTTCGTAAGATTGAGTACATCTTTAATACAAGAATAAGAATCATACTGAAAGTGAGTGTAGTAGCATTCTTTACTCACATCAAAGGGTTTCCTTTCATAAGTCATGGGAGTTGTAGGAAAACAGGAAACTATTGTACCTATTGAGTGGTGATATTTTTCATTAAGTAGACATTGATTGGCTGTTACTACTACTCAAATCCTCGTTGGGAGGTTCAGGCTTTTGTTAATGTTTATTTCGAAGGGGAGCAGTTTGTTTAACAGTCGTCCTAGTTTGACCTTGTTGTACGGCATGGTTACTGTGAAGAAGTTAAGAAACGTAGAGAAGAGCTTGTCAGATAAAAGGTACAACAAGAAGAAAATAACCCCCCGAGTAATCGACCCAATTAAAAAAATGTCACTATTGTGTGCTATTTTAATTTAGTGAGATGCATTTCTGTTTACTTCGTAGAAGGTTGGTGAAAGGTTTTGGAGTTTATCTTCTAATACATTGCTGAGTTTGGAATTGAAATTTTGATCCCTTGTTCCACAGGAGTTTACCAAGTTCAAATAGATGCGGAGCAGCAGAAAGTAACAGTTTCAGGTAGTGTGGATTCTGCAACTTTGATCAAGAAACTGGTCAGAGCTGGTAAATATGCCGAGCTCTGGTCTCAGAAAACAAATCAGAATCAAAAGCAGAAGAATAACTGCGCCAAGGATGACAAGAACAAAGGGCAAAAGCAAGGGCTGGTGAAGGGGCTTGAGGCCTTCAAAAATCAGCAGCAGAAATTTCCTGCTTTCAGTTCTGAAGAGGATGATGACTTTTATGATTATGATGACGACGAAGACGATGAAGATGAAGAGATGCGCTTTATCAGAGAGAAAGCCAATCAACTGCAATTGCTGAGGCAGCAAGCTGCAGATGCAAATAATGTGAAGAAAGGTATTGCAGCCATATCTGCAGCTTCCAATAATGGTAAGATGAACAATGCTGGCAATACCAATGGTGCGAAGAAAGGAGGACCAAATACGAATATGGCAATGAAGGATGGTCCTAATGGGCTTGATCAGAAAACCATGGCAGCTCTGAAGTTAAACAATGCCCACCTGGGTGGTGAAAGCCTCAATCTTGGAGAAGCCAAAAGGGCCAATGACATTGGTGCGATGATGAATTTAGCTGGGTTTAATGGTAGTGGTGTTAATGTTGGTAGCGTCACTGTTCCAGGGGGAAATTCCAATGGTTTGGGAGGTTTTGCTGTTCAGTCTAATAACATGATTCCAGGATCTTCTGCAGCTTTTTCTAATGGTGGTTTTGCAACAAGCCAATATCCATCATCTCTGTTGATGAACATGAATGGCATCAATAACCATCCATCCCCATCTCCATTAATGATGAACATGAACATGCAGGCTAGGCAAGCCATGCAGCAACAACCCCAGATGATGTATCACAGGTCTCATTTTATTCCCCCAAACACTGGCTATTACTACAATAATAATAGCTACAGCCCTGCAAATTACTCTTATTCCTATGCCTCCTTGCCTAGTTACTACGCAGGGGGCGATGATCATCACTCTGCAGCTCACATGTTCAGTGATGACAATACTAGCAGCAGCTGTTCAATAATGTAATGATAGATCGTAGAGCCAAAAAGTGAAAAAAAAAAAGAAGCAAAAAGGATGGTGTTTGACCTTAAAGTCCCATTTACCAAGCTAGTATACTGTTTGACTATAATTTGGTGAGGCATGTGAATGTGTTAGGGATGGATGGATAGATGTGAGTGAGTGAATCATCTCAAGTGTACTGTGTAGTGGTTGAGATGATGTCTGCCTTTATTTTTTTAAAAATTGTCCTTGGTTGTTCTGTCTCAATGGCTTGCTTTGTATGTGGAGTAGATGATGAGTATGTGTTATGCCCAAGTCCTAACTTTTAAGGTTTAATAAAGTATGTGCAACTAAGCCAATGTAAAAATATGCGAACCTAACTTTGTGTCTATGAGGGACCTGATGGATGGGTTTTCCCTTTATTATATTATTGGCTTGGATATGGGACAACCTTCTCTAATTAGACAAGGTGACACGAATTACTGTTTTCTGTGCCCTGAGACATGATGACACCGTGTGTGTCTAGGAACAGTGGGGTTGACAATGTGCTTCGCTGTGAATAATAGTATTATGAACGTTAGGTGTATACGCACGCGTATGTCACGTGCGTGATATTACAGTATTGTAATCGGGCGGGACCACATTACAACTTGGATGTTGGGAATATAATAACATTTATTAGTACACTAATTATACTCATATGATGCTGATAGCCCGCCAGTCAGGTAATATTAACTAGTAGTATATTAAGTGTCATAAAGCACATGCACTATGTTTAAGGTGCTTATACGAAGAGAATTTTAAACTGAACATAATAGCCTTTTCTAATTATGAAAAAAGGTTTAAACAGAAACTGTTGAAACTGCTGCTTTGTTGTTGACCCAGAAAAATTATAAAAACTGCTACTTTGTTTTGCTTCCTAGGGTCGTTATTTTTAAAGGATATAATAATCATTCATCTCAAATAGAATAAACACAATTATCCTTGTCCTTTTTTTCATAAATTAAATAATATTTACTTGTAATTGTCTTTGTAAAGTGATATGAAATCCATGAAATATCTAAGATAGTAATAGGGCGTATATATACTTTATGAATGCTTTCAAGATTTAAACCTCACTGCGAGGTGATGAATAGAAATACATTAAAAAGAAAAAACTAGCAGTGGGTTGATAGAGTTGGTTTGTTAAGATGGAAGAGACAAACATCAGGAGGGCCATCTTGTCTTGTAAGCAAAACGCTACTGCCAAGACAAGGAGAATCCATGGACCATGACCGTGAGCAATAAATAAATCACTAGAATGTCTACAATGTGGTTGCCAGCAATTCAACAACATGCATAAAGTGGAGTAGATGGTATATTGGAAGATGAATTATTTTAAAGAAACATTTGAAAAATTAGTTAACTCAATAAATTAATTCACACATTTTATAAAGGACAAAACTTAATTACAGTATCATAAGGTAAGAGTTGAATTTTTACTTTGATAATATGTATAATAAAAATTAACATTCAAAATTGATACACATAACTTAAGCAAATTTTCAATTCTAAATAAAACAACAACACAATCAATGCGTATAATACTACTCCTAAGCTTTGTTATTCTACAAACTAGTAGTTCTTCTCTTCGACAGCGAATATTACTTTCATGAGGTCTTCCTTTACCCCTTTTTCTTTTATTTTTTTACAGTTCACCCAACTTTATTTTTTAGAAGGGGCTCTGAACTAATAAAATTCTGAGTTAATTATAGGAATTTAAATTAAAGTTTGGCTTCAATCAATTCCTTTTTCTTTGTAACAAAAAAAGAGAGACAAATATTTACCACCTAAGGTTAAACGCAGATACACGAGGCCACGGGCCTGTTGCATGAAATGGATGCCATTTGCGACGCCGAAGTCCAAGACACCAAATAGCTACAGTTAAATAAATCAATATGAAATTCATCTCTACATAACAAAATGCTTCCCTACCCTTAGAGAACTGTTCACAGTTAATGCAAAGGTTTCTTGTCTATTTCTGAATAATGTATTCTCTGCAGCCCTCCAGTAAATTACTAGATTGATGGGAACCATTTGATAGGCATGTGAAGTAAACATAGGGAAGAAACAAAGGCATGGCGACAACATATGTGGCTCAACTTGAAGTGAGATCGAGATTATCCACTAATCCTATTCTATTCTTTCTGTATTTGGTTTTGAAGTATCACCATAGGAGACAGACAAGATTCTGCACACATAAACCATTATTTAAACGGTAGCTCATCTTTCGTAGTATGTACCGAACAATATGCTCCCATTACATGCTGAATACGAAACACAAGGTTGACCAAGTCAACTAAAATGCCAAGAATCATTCAAAAACAATATTTATTTATTGTTCCTTCTCCTATACAAACACCGAAGTTTTATACAGTATATCTGCAATCTCTTATCACCTTTCTTCTCACTGTGTTCTTTTCCTTTTCAAATGACTTTCTTTGACAAAAAAAAATCTTTCTTAAGAAAGTTAGAAAATAAATGAGATATGAACAAAAAGATATATCATTGAAAAAAAAAATTAAAATAATAAATATTTTATGACTAGCCAAACATGAGAGGGATGGTGTATACTGTTAGCGTTATAAACACTTTCTTGAAGTCAATAATGACACTGAATCGAGCCTTGATACAGTCAACTGTCGCTTCGCTAAGTTCATTCCCTCCCTTTCCCCTAATCTGAAATTCAGATTAATTTCAAATTTTCCCCATCTTTCTCAACCGATTATTTTAACGCTTTTTTACATATATTTCTTTCCACATTACTTTAAATATTACATTTTTTTACTCTCTTTTTATGCATGGGATACTTGGAAACAAAAATATAGTAATATGATAAAAGAGTGATGTGAAAAAACGAAAAGACGAATTTGTTATTTATGTAGATATTTGGTTCTTCTAAACTTGTGCGTGTGCACTTTTTCTTTTGGTGTTCTTATTATAGAAGTTACGCACGATAATTTAGATCTTCTCCATTATATGATGATCGCTGTTTGACACTTTTTAAATTATTATTTGATATGTAAGTTTAGATTATTTATTGATGTCTATATAAGATTTCATGTAATAAGAGGGTGTCAAAAACATGTTAATTTGAATTATACAGGCAAAACAATAGGACAGCAACAATCCATGTTCTTAAATAAATATTTGAGGTCAGAAGGTGTACTGAATTGCTCTGATTAAATGCGTAGGACTCACCTAATTGAAACTAAATGGACTAAACTGATTTGATAGGCAAAATAAAGGGATCAGAAGTGCCATTTCATTACCTGCATAACTGGATTGGAATTTTGCTCAGACAAGGACAAATATTATTTCCAATTTCTTTGGAAATAACTAGGAGTTCCCCGCCTCTGCAAATCAAAATTCAGCTAGGATAAAGTATCCGACTGTTAGTTATTGGAGAAATCTATCAAGAGCACACACCACACAGTATTGCAATCTTCAGTTTCCTTCCCACTACATAACTATTACAGAACATTGAAGATCATCATATAATACACGTTACAACCATAAATTTCTTACCACAATACTGCATCACGCATTGGGAGGTTCTGATGCTGAGTTTATTCAGAAATCAAAGTCCAAACACGAACACAACCATCCTCTCCAGAACTGGCCACTCTTTCCTGATCAATGAAAGTCAACCCATATACTCCACCTAAATGAGCTCCTTTTATGGTTCTGCGGCTTGATGCTGGCTTTCCAACTTCGTATATAATGACACATGTATCAAGTGAACCAGTAGCTACCAGTCTGCTATCAGGTGACCAAGACAGGCAGTTAATACGTGCAGTATTAAACAACATGTTATTAAGCTTCACCTGAAAGAGAAAATTTTCAGTTAAATGCCTACTAAAGAAAGGAGGAATTTATTAAGTCAAAATAACTAAGGGAACTATTATCTATAAAGCACACAAACATCAGCATTTGAAAAATCTCAGCCACACACTTACAATGTCAGAATAACATCATATTAAACAAGAATATCCCGATAAGAAAAATGGGATAGAACTGCCTCAACGATGTAAGCAGGTTTGGATCCAGTGTCTTTATGAATATTCCTCAGTTCTTTTCAATAAAATTTATTCGGGAAAAACACACGCAACATACCCTGTTTACCAAATCTTGCCAAGAATGGTTAGAAATGTGTTGGAACTTTTGGGGTGTTTCTTTATATTGAATTTCCTACAAGACTCTCTCTCTCCTACAACTGCAACGTTGAGCAGCAGAGAACCCATGTCCATATTAATGTTGTTTGACAAAATAGGAAAAAGTTTCTGTGGTTAGATTTGGGTACTCTAAATACACAGTTTCAAAGGATAAGTACAAATTAATAATAATTGACTAAAAAATCAACTGTTAAAATTTTAAAAACTACATAATTTTACTTGTGTACTTTATTTTCTAACACTAAGCACTTTTTATAACTCAAATTCATGTTTATATACGATGGTTATAAACAGTAAGAAAGCCAGATGAGCATTCAAGGCTTGGAGCATATTTGTTCATGGATTTGGTTAAGTTACTCTAATTTTCCGTTAAATAAGTAAAGAATTATGGCCATTCAACTGATTTCATCAGTGCTGCTCATCATGGAAGCAAGTTATTACATAAACATGAAGCTAACATGATTTGAAATTTAGATGCACACGTTATGATCGCTCAAGCAAAAATACTACAATCGAGAGAAAATGGCATATATTTCTTATTTCAAATAGGAAAGTTTGGTATAGGAGAAACCAAAGTAGACACTATCCTTCGAGGCATGAAACATTTGAACTTCATGCAACTATCATTTCAGGCTCAAGTTACCTCTTTGGAATCACAGTCCCATACAACAGCTTCACGATTTACATCAGCTGATGCAAACATGGAAACGTCTGGAGAGTATCTGATTACACTGATGGCACCTCGGTGCTTCTCAAGGACACTCTGCTCTGTAACTGTATCTCCTGAAACAGAATATAAGCGCAACTTACCATCTTGCCCTCCCACGATTGCTTCACTACCATCTGGTGAAATGGCACATGCGGTCACAAAAAAGCCCAGGTTTATAGTGGAGACAATTTTTGAACCCTTTAGTAAGACAATGCCGGATTCAATTGCAACGAGAGCAAGTTCAGGACTATTAAGTGCAAGGCTCAAATCCTTAGGCTGGCTTCCAACATCAATATCCTCGGCAACACCAAAATTATCCCCTTGAAGAGGAACTCTGTATACCTTCATTTAAATACATAAAATTTAAATAATATCAACAGAATGCAATAATCAGCAGTATTTAGAATAAAAAGTAAGCTCAATTTCCATTATGGTTTGGCTACCACAAACATTTACTACATTTTTCTAAAACTAACTCAGCAATTCAGTGTCATCAGACGTGGAGCTTCAATGATATATGGGCATCAAACACGAAATAAAAGGAGAGAAGATGCATCTACACTATAATTTTTACGCTACCAAATCAAGAACCTTAGAATGATAATGACGAGCGATGACACGAGTATATCAGTTACCTTATTGTCAAATCCAGCCGCAATAACTTCTTCTTCGCCAGCTACTAACACTTTGATTAATCCAAATTGTTTATTGTCAAACTTACCACTGTAACCAATGCCTGGCATCCATCTAATGATCGCTCCACAATAGCTGCTTGACAAAAGCACCTTTTCAGGTCTGTTGAGCAGAGTCAAAACGGTGACATTCTTCATGTGACCAGAAAATGACAATGGGTTTTTATCTAAATCCTTAGCAGAATATAAATTGATCGTGCCACCAAGAGAGACAGTAAGAAGATAATCATTTTGCCAAAGACAACCAACAAGCATGTCCTCTACCCCGCCAGATTCAGTAAGTGCCAAATTCTTGCTTACTGTTCCACTACCATCCTCAAGAATATCCCATACTTTTGCAGATTTGTCAGCAGACACAGTAAGAACCTGGAATTAATTGATACGTAATTTAAGTTAGAATGTAAATAGTAACCCGAGACATCAACAGGAGCACAAGCAAGATCAAAACATTTTCTTCCTTACATGTTTAGATTCCTATTTGTTAGTGGTAAGTTATTATATTTGCAGAAAACATAAAATTCTTCTGTCACCATTGTAAGTAAACTTGAAACAGTAAGATTCACTTACCTGTTTGCTGTCAGGACTCCAACTAACAGCATATATGCTGCCACTGTGACCATCCTCTGCGGACAACTCTCCCAGCTTGTCCCCTGTCTTTCCATCATATATAATACCCTTCCTATCTGAGCTAACAGTAATAAATTTGCTACCATCTGGAGAAAATCTAACACAGTTGACGAAATTCGAATGGTCCCTGCAGATACAGAATGTCTTCTATGACAACCTGAATAAAGAAATGGAAACCTACTCAACCCAAAACATTTGTTTCTCGCTATAACTTGATCCTATTTTCAAAAGTTTAGAATTAATAATTCATACGATACTCTTGATCATACAATATATAAATATAACGAAGTTGACTTTTTCCCGACCATGCAAAAACTCTTGAATTTTGATTATTCCTATTGATAAAAATTATTGATATTTCAATTCCCTCGTCAAATAGCATGCATTCATTTTTGTGGGCACCTTTACGAATGAAAGAGAAATGCAAACTCTCATAGAAATTCCTTCACAGGAAATGAATATACACTACACTCACTTAAAATGAAGAAAGGCGAAGCTCACAGATAATTTTAAGTACTAGATAATAGATACATGTAGAATTATAGAGACAAATATGCAAGCAACCCCAGATAACAGAACTTACCTGATGGACATGTTGAACTTGAACGGTGGACCATCATAAAAATTCGCTAAAAAATCTTCTCCGCACGTGACAATGCGAAATGGCCTTGTTGGTTTGATTGAACAGCTTAAAACCCGCCGTGAATGGCCATCAAAATCACCAACAGTAGAACCAGAATCCCACCTTCAAATGCAACACATATGAAAGATGAAAAGAGGAATCACGTGTTTAAAATTAAAAGATGGAAGCACATTTGCACATGCATGCGATGAGAAATTTTATTCATATAATTCGTACAAATACGATCATTCATGTAAATATCAGAGATAAGAATAAAAAAAATAGAAAAATACGAGATAAAAAAAGCAATATAATAGATAAAAATAAACAAACAAGAGCTATACAAATTATAATATATTTTTGTTATGTGAATATAATATCATGCATTCAATCATGACGAAGCTCGTACGGTGAAGTTGAAAAGCAATTAACCCGTATCAATTGAATTAAGTGTTTTTTATTATTATTTTGTTAACTAAAGGAATTCATATACTATTTCATTGGTCTCACGAGACCTACGTTTTGGATTGCAAACTCAGTAAAGTCACATCACAGAACCGTTCACATGCAGCAAGTGCTTATGTCACGAACTTCGACTGTAAAGCGTGCTTAATATTTTTTATATATTTTAAAAGTTGTGGGCAATAATGTTAGGGCTTAAGATTCAAATCCACCGTACAAAAGTTGAATATTAAATTTGTGTTTCGGGTGACTGTGACAGAACAATTCTAATATTTTATGTTGAAAGGATTCGTTTGAATTAAAAAAATATAAAAATAAAAAAGAATGAAAAGACGGTTACATGAAGGCGCGAACAAAGGACTTGCCCTTGCCATCGCCACAGGCAACGATCCTTAGCCCATCGAAGGACCATTGGAGGTCATCGATCCGACCCGAGAGGACCCGAAACTCGTTCTTCAGAACGAATTCGTTGTGGGTCCCCCAGATGCGGACAACGCCGGAGACGTCGGCGGAGGCGATCCACTCGCCGTTGGGGGAGTAACGTGCCACCGTCACGGGATAAGCGTGCTCGCCGTAGACGGAGACCTGAAGGGGGTTGTCGAGGTTGCGGATGATGACGGATCGGGCAGTGCAGTAGAGAATGTTGTTGGATTTGGGGTCGCCGGAGATGAGTATTCCGCGGCCGCGCTCGGTGGAAGGGACGCACGCATAGGTCTCTGAGAGTGTGGCCATTGAGGAATTGGAATTGCTCTGCGTTCATCTTTGTGGACGTCTTATAGAGTTAGAGAGAGAGAGAGAGAGAGTGTCCGAGAATGGAGGACCGTGTTTTGAACAAGTTCGCTCTCTCAATACCATTCACATTTTTCTGTCAAATCCACTCTTTGGTTCCATTTTTCTGTCAAACTCACCCTGCACATTTTTTTATTTTTATTTTTATTTTATGTATCAGTAGATAAGTAAAAGTTTTAAATAATAACCATTGAGTTTTCCCTTTAATGAATTAAAAATATTTCTTTTGAAAACATTGAAGATATGTTATATAATTATTTGTAATTAAAATATACATATTTTAAATAAATAATAATAATTTTATTACATTAAATAAAACTAAATTAAAAAGAACAAAATTATAAAAACTTGAATTATAAAGCTTCTAAGATTAAATAATTATATTGAGGTTTAATTTCAAAAATTAAATATTCAATGTAAATAAAGTTATGTGATATGATAAATTATATTTTTAAATTTAAAATAATTTGAGCTAGGAACAAAGATACATGTTCTGTATATAAAGATAAATTAATTAAACGGTATATATATATATATATTACTGATTTAAAATAATTAGAAATAATGCAATGTTGAAATATAAATCGTAATAGAATGTTGTACTAATACTTTATCATAAAAAAAAAACACTTTTAATTCTTTAATTACTGCGCTGAAATAACTGGTTAATACTATCTCCTGTAATATTAATAACAGATGTCTTTTTATATTCCTTTTTAACACGAAATGTTTTGCATGAAAAGTTATCCATAGACAAATAGAATAAATAAGTTATTGACATTCTCAATAATATATTAATCATCACCTTGCTGTGTCTGGACATGCATTTAAACTGATTATTAAAGTTTAAAATTGGTCAACTCTAGTAACACAAGTTTCGTGTTAAATAGCAAAGCTAAAACCCTAAACTGAATTAATATAATTTGAGTCCGTTTAATTAACATAGAATGGAGTGTGTGAGTTTGACAAAATAAAATATGGTAAAAGTAAAGATATATTTCTTATTTATTTTACATTTAATAATGTTAAAATAATAAATTTCATGCATTATTTTTAACTCGGAACCATCCTAAATTACACTGAGAAGGAGATGAAAAAAATTATAAAATAAATACAGTATATTCTATTAATTTAACAAACTTTAAAGTAAAATAAATAATATCTACCAAAATTGCCTTTCAAAAGAATCTATTTCAATTTTTATTTTAATATTTTTTTGTTCTCTAATCTATTTCAATTTAGTTTGTGTAAAGCGTTTTAATATTATTCGCAGTATATTAAATGCACCTGCAAAGTATGTCCAGGCAATAGACCTGGGCACTTGAAATACACGTCCATGCCATTATTTTGCATCGTTACATTAATTTTTATTCGGCCGAACAAATACATGTGCGATGCACGTTGACAATATAAATCGTCTCATTCTAAGTTTAAAATTCAACTTTAGTTCTACGTGTGATTCGTTTTATTATTCTTTTAATGCAAATTTTTACATTTAAAGTATTCTAAGAAAAATTAATATGATATTATATTTGTAAGGAGCAAAATATATGTTTTTTATATAGAAAAATAAAACAAAGTACAGATTTAAAAACTAATATGAAATTATATTTATAAATTTTTTTTAGTTATTTAACATGAGAATAGGTGTTAATAAAATTATAATATATAGTGTGAAAGCATTAAATATACTATTTAAAAAGGTTCAAAGTAGTAAAAACTGCATTAATTGAATTTTTATATTTTTTTCCATCGTGTCTATATGTGCATAATAAAAAAATTTATAAATATAATTTCAGTGTCTTTAAATATTCGAAATTTATGATATGATATGTTTTTTTAAAATAATTTTAAACTATTTATTCATATATGTTTTCCTTTTTGAAGGCCCATGGCAGCAAATGCCCACTCAGGCCATGAGCCAAAATGATGATAACATTTTTTAAACTGACTTTTTTTTTCTTTGCGTAAATTTTTATTTTCCTAGCCGTATTTTATAGTGGCATGTTTGGATTATGGACTTCGTTAGGAAGTACGAAAAAATAAATGTTGAGTTTTATGTTTTGACGATATTTGCTAGATTTTTTAATAGGTGGAAAATACGTGTGTTAATTTGTATATGTTGAAACTATTTTTTACCTCTTCAATTTGCGATTGGTTTTGTAAAAATTATCAATATTGGTTTAATTTAACTTGCTTAATTTTTTTTAATTATATACTATAGCTAAAATATAATAAAAGTTTAAACTTGAATTTCAATCTTATCTGGTATGAATTTAAAATATATTAATTATTTAATTACAAGTCAAAAGAAACATTTGACATTAATTATATTCCATTAAATATATTGAAAATAAATACAAACTAATTGTATTTTAGGTTTATTTAAACTGAGAAAAAAAATTATTTTGTGAGTAGAAGACTGAAAAAAAAATGCTTGTCTTTTATAATAGAATGCATGATTTTTCTTTTTCTTTAAAAGGTATCATGCATGTAAAGCGTAAATTGAGCATTTAAACCCCCCTCCCTCCAACAAAATAAGAAGTTATTATTGACCAAGAACCCACCTCACGGGAAGAAATTTCATTTTTAGTATTTTCCATGATAAATTTCTCAATCTTCTTCTCTCTTCTAAATTGATTATTTTCTTTCTTTCTTTTCCCTTCACATGTGTATCTTTTTTACTTCTATCTTTACACTTTATACAAACAAACACAACCTTAGTGTATGGTCGGATAATATTTTAAAACTTAATTCTGTTGGCTCCTACACCTTCTCTGTGGATTTGCAATGGTAGGTTCGAAGGGGACAACAAGAAGTAGGATGGTCCCTCTGAGAGAGGAACGAAGCAAAGTGGAGTTATGTGGAACCAGTAATTTCAACCATTCCTAAGCTAACGTTCCTGCTAAATCACTAGAAGCCTATTCAGTATTGACCACTTGGTAGCAAACAACGGTCTTTACTAAACAATAATGTAATATCAAGTAGATAAATGTTAGTAATTGATGTCTTAAAAAGATAAGATTTTAAAATAACCTTATATAAATAAACTATAACAATGTATCTCTCTTTTATATTTTAATATAATTCTAACCTGATTTTTATTAAAAATATTTATTAATTTTGTAGTCAATGGATTTGTAATATTAATTAACAAGTTTCTGTAAAATAATAAGAACATTCAAGAAAATATACTTTCAAAGCATGCTTGTAATTAATTATCTTGATTTTGTATTAGTTAAGTGGAGGATCGGTGGTATAGCTTTTGAAGGAAGTATTGCATGTTTTTATGGGAAAACGACATACACAATTTGTAAGCGATATGCATCGTAGTAACCCACGGCACACACCGTTTCTATGCAGATATTGGACCATGAAGACAATGCTATGATGAGACCCTTGAAAGTTATCAAGTGAGGTCTCGCGAGGAAGCCATTAGCCATGGAATGGTAATATGCTGACAATCAATTTTATTATAGTGTTACAGTGTAATTCTCAGCAGTATTTCAAACTTCTAATTCTTGACGATCTATAAACTAGGGAGATTTTGCTAGTGAAAGAACAATCTTTAGAATGTAACCGTATTTAAAAAATAACTACTTGGATTGACGGAAGCATGCATTTATAATTTTATATTGTTTTCTTGCTTAACTATCCTTGATTTTTTTTCTCAATACAATAATGGGGTTTTTTACATAAACAAAACATTTTAAAAATAAAATTACGTATATATCTTCAAAAATTTCTTTTTTACATAAATGTCCTGATTTAAATTGCATAGAAGTCAATGATTTTACATACGATTACATAAGTCGATTATAATCGCTTTTGATAGTACAATGAGAAAATTGATTATAATTGACTTTTGTATTATATAAGAATCGATTATAATCAACTTCTGTAATGCATTTTGGGTGGATACCATATCCTAAGTTATATATTTTGTTTGAATTTTTTACCTAAATTAAAGAAAAATAATAATTTTAATCAAATTTGTTAATATTTTTGTATAATTTTATAATTTATAAAATTATTAAATGATATAAATGTAAAAATAATATTTCAAAGGACATAAATTTAAATTCTAAACTACATAAAATTTAAATTCCAAAGTACATGAAATTAAAATTTGAAAGGACATAAAAATAAAATTCTAAAATATAGAAAATTAAAATTTCAAAGTACATTGTCTATAAAATATATAGATTATCATGCAGCATATGTGACAATGGGTCATGCCTATTGCGCCTAGGCCCAGCAAGGTGACTCCCTGTTACACAACGACGATATATAATCTATCGTACAGGTCTGTAGTGTGTATGTTCCTCCTCTGATGAACTATTAAAGGAGGGAGTTTGGATATGTGATGGTGATGGTTGATATAAATTATCAGGTGGTGACATTGTACTGATTGAATTTTGCCAAGTCATAACCTCAGAATCTGACATGAAATGTGGACTAAAAGATATATGTTGTGCAATATCACCCTGTTGCATAGGACTAGGAGTAAGAGAAGAATCTAATATGAACTGATGACTAGGGTCTACCATAAAATGTTGGCTAAGAGTCATACATGGCTGGCTAGGGCTCGGCATGAACTGGTGCTGAGAAGGACCAGCCATGTACTGTTGTTGGCTAGGTCTTGACATGAAGCGGTGGCTGGGGTATGTAGGTGGCTGGGGTGGTATACGTAGTGCGAAGTACGTTGTACAGTTGGATTTGCATCAGGTTCTACATCGTGTGTTGGGAGGTCGGCTGTTATATGTGCCTTATCACAATACTGACGTCTACTAGCATGCAAATGACACATGAAAGAGCGTTTATTTGGAACATCATTAAGGTGTGTTATGTTAGGTGCTGGAGTGCATGTAGTGGTACACCATCAGATAAGTCCTTAAGCTCTGCATCCTTTGGCGCTCCATCCAATGACAAAAATCTATTAGCGACTGACAAGTACTACTGAAAGTACTTAACAGGGGGACAATCATGGTCAGTTAGAGGATATAGAACTCGCCGGTCCCTACGTGCCTCCCATACAACGTGCCATATCACATAATAATTAGGCCGCTATATATCTAGATTATCCCTCCCATCCTTAGCATGCAACCGATCAATATTTATCAGGCTAATTGGTATGTGTTGTGCTCCACCAAATTGTTGAACTACGTGATCAACAGTGTGCCACTCAATCACAGTAAACTGTATAAGAGCATTCACAGATGCCTAAATATCAGCCTCATCAAACACGATAAGAGGTGTAATGTTTCTAACCTCATTGTTATTGTAGGATGTCCACCTAAACTGAAATAATAAATAACAAATATTAGACCAAAAAATATATGTATTTACAACAAAAGAATTTAGTAACATACACCTTGTTTGAACTTACCCAATAATGCCAATTAAATTAATAATCCTCCTATATCGCAATAACTTATCCATATCTGATCTCGTCGATGACCTATAAATTTTCCACTTGAAATGGCATAATTAGTTTTTACTTGCAAATTTAACATATATAAATACCAAAAAAATAATATCACAATATCTCAATGCTAGTGGAAAAGTGAGAGGATAATAGTACCTAGGGGCTAACTGAGGTATTCTATACCATGCCTAAGACTGTAGAAGAGACAAATAATCTGCAATCTTGGTGACATTGTATTTTACCGCACGATAAAGCTCACGATAAAGGGATGCTAGAACAACAAAACCCCAACTATAGTTTAGAATCTCAGTAAAATCAGTTAAAAGATGTAGTCACTTCATATGAATCCTAAATCCTGATTTATCTGGAAATAATATCCCACCAAATATCACCATTATGTATGCTCTACTGTAACAGATAATAGTCTGTCCATCGGCATTGTAAAATAATACTCCAAATATATCTATGAATCACTGTAAATTTACAGAAAACTCTTTTATATTACTCTCATCGGGAACTACTCCAAGTAAATCTTCACACAATGTCCATATATTTCAATCATAAAATTTCTCCCACGCTCCAATACAACTACTCACAGGGACTCCATCCACAGGTAAGTCTGATTGAAACACAACATCCTCCAAAGTGATCGTACATTCTCTGTATGAAAAATAAAATGTATGTGTCTCAGGTCTCCAATGTTCTACAAGTGCACTTATAAATGTCCTATCATAATCAAATACTAGAATCATCTGTGCAACATACCAAAAATTAATTTGTCTAAGAAATGGTTCCATTCTTAAATTTGGAAGAATCATCATATTATAATGTCTACATTTTAAAATTCGAGCTTCCTGTATAATAACAAAATAATATATACAAGATTTAAATGAAAATATTATAACAAAATTATTATAATTAATTTAGAAGATAATAAGTATTAACATTTACACATATTTTTAAACATATAATTACAGAATTAATAATACATTAAATTAAACACAACAATAACTAATTATAAATAAATTAAATATATTTAAAAATTAATTTATCTGTGTTAACAACTTGTTTACAATATAATCAATAAAATTAAGTCGATATAAATTGTTATCCATCTTTTGTCGTCTCTGTTGTCTTCGCAATCTCTGTTGTTCTCTTATCATTCTCTTTGGCCTCGTTTCTCTCTCTTCTTGCCTCTTTCTGGTCTTGCCTTTCTCCAACTTGGACTATATGGTAGTCGTTTAAAATAATCTCCAAACATTAACAGAAGTCAATTTTAATCGTTTTCCCTGCACTATGAAAGTCGATTAGAGTTGACTTATTTGAAGAGCCAAAATCGACTTATTTAGAGGGGGAAGTCGCATATGGGTTTTAGGATATTTATGTAAAAGATTAGGACACGTGCGTAATTTTATTTAAAAAAAGCTATATTTTTGTAAAAAAAAAGCAACAATAATGAATGTAGGGATTCAAGTATTTTCTTTAAATAGATGCAAAATGTGTTGAGGACGAGATACAAATGTTTTTACTTTCTTGGAAGATGCAGATAGATTGGACAGTTTGGCAATTCATATAAAAATAAGCAGATGCACCAGTTTATATTTTTCCAAAAATTATATATTATCCTCTTTCATTTTCTCAAACAATGTTAAAGAAATACCTAATGTCATTTAATCCTATCCTTGTTATATGTATATATTATTTGCAAGAGCACTTGCTATCTTAAATAAGAATAAAAACTCTTGCTTTATTAAGTCAGGTATTACCACTCCTGTGCCCTCTTAAGTCAAACTAAATCAAGATAGTTTGGTACTCTTTCTTATATGTGAAATTATTATTATTATTAATTTTATATTAATTGATAATAAAGTAGTAATTTAGTTAAAAAAAACCATTAATATCTTCTAATTTTTAAGATCATAGAAAAATTACTATAGTTAATATAAACAATATATGTAATATTTTCTCAAGTTTACAGATACCGTGACAAACATTCTTGTAATAAGTCAAATTTTATGCATTGACATTAAGTGGTGACTTTTGAACAAAGGTATTTTTTTTAGCGCAATTTAAATTAATTTATATTAGAATGAAAATAATATTTAATTTATTCTTTCATTATTTGCAGTAGATAGATTCTGTGTGATTTTTTTTACAATGAGTTTCATGTCAAAGATGCAATGTTCATCTAGATAATATTCTTACCATCATGTCTTTTAATTTAGAGCAGCTTATAAAAAAAAAAAAGATCTTCGTATTTTTTATGCTATTCACTTTTATAAGACTTTTAGACTCTCATGAATTACAAGTACTCTTTTACAAATGTCATTTCTAATTATAGTGTGGTAGATATAGAAGAACATGAATGTTAATTGCATTATTGAACAAAAGATTTTAATTTATAAATTTATATTTAATATTATGAATCTCATCAATCAGTTTCATTTATATGAACAAATGTAACAATTTAGGTTTATCTAAAGCGCTGGGTTTTAGGCTGATAAAAAAATTGAATTCATCCTTACTACTGATAGAAATAGTCAGGGAGCACAAGAAGAGCTAACTTCAGTGCTATTATTAGAAATATGGAAAATTGGTTTAGATGAGCTTCTTAATTTATTAACATGTGACAATATTCATGCTAAACTTATAGTCATACTTCAAGGTTTGAAAATGACTTAAAATCTAAATATTTGATATCTCTTGTGTTACTTTAACATGATGAAGTCATAACGTGTTGAAGATTATAAATTTTGTGATAAAATTATTTCATATTTTTATGAGTATGCTCATCTCATTTGAAATATAAGAGAGTAATTAAAAAATATTGACAAATTATTATTAAACACTCTATGTGAAGGAAATATATATACAAATTTGTTAGTTAAGTTGAAAGTTTCTTTAGATTGTGATTTGAAAGACATGATGTATTAATTTTTCATGTTGATGATAGAGTAGTCTCATATTTGAGATTGATTTTTTTTTTGTTTTTTTTTTTAAGAATAGATAGATTAATTTGAAATTAATATTTTTTTAAAAAATAGATTAAAAAAAATTAACTAGTAAAATTATTATACTAACACAAAATGTTAATAGACCTAACTTTTCACACAACTGCCACAAATTTTATTTTTGTTGGGAGATGTATTTATAAATAGTTATTCATGTTTAATCTTCACTGTTTAAAAGGTAATTTTGATTAAAAAATTAATGAATTTTTAAAATTAAAACATTTAAAAACGTATATCATAAAATACGATATTTAATTAAAATAATATTTTTATCAATATACTTTCTATAATATTTATCTCTACCTTTTGACACCTCTGGAGTTAATTGATAAAATTATAATTTCTATGTAAAATTAAATAAAGTTGTCAAAACACGCGTGCAAATTTTAAACTACATTTATAGTTTTAAAATAACATTTTATAAACTAAACGCTTTTCATTTTTTTTAACCAGGTCAAAATCTTATGGTTAAGTTTTATTTGGGCTTCGAGTCATCAGGCACTAATTGGATTTATGACCGTGTTTTCAGTTTATTGACTAGCATTTATCGATGGGTTACGAGAAAATATTTTACGCTATTGCATAATATTAATCCATAAGTTAGTGATTTATTTAGAAAAAATATAAATAAAAATATTATAAAAAAAGTTGAAATTTAAAAAGGTAAAATATATAATAAAAGTACATTAACACATAAAGTTAATTGCTTAAAAAATTAAAAAATTATTTTAATGAATTAATTTCTAAAAAAAATCAATTCATTGCACATTCAATTTTTCAAAGCAATACCTTCGGGGATATTTGATAAAATGATTTTTTTATGTATATAAAATAGTGTAAGTGTGAAAAGAGTAAAGTTAAGCTGGAAAGAATAAAGTGTGAAAGAGAACATGCATTGGCAGAGTTAGAATAAAAAATAATTATTTTCCTTGTTGCCTTTTCCTGGTTATTCTTTGCTCCACAACACACAGTGGCTTGCTTTTATTATTTATTTATTTGGGTTCATTCGTGGCCTCGAAAATTACATAATGGCACAACCCAGAATCTCCACCATTTGACACTAGCCCAATATTGACCAATCTTCATCCTACAAATACCCTTTTCCCTCTCCCTCATTGTTGCTCTATATTTTGTCTATTTCTGTGTGAATACCCGTGAGCAAAGAAGGTAGCCATGGACAGAACATTTCTTCTCCTCACTCTTCTTCTAGCTCTTACCCGCTCATCAGCTTCAGATAATTTGATAGATGCATCCAAGTTGAAGATGTTTGTGGATCAGCTTCCTGATATGCCCAGAATCCCTGCCTATGAGATTTTAGATGGCGTTCCAAAATCTAAGTCGCTCAAGATTGGCATGTTCAAGAAAAAATGGGTATGTTCCTTTTTGTCTCAATTAAGCGTTACAATTTTCAATTTTTACACTTCTTTACTGTATCCCTTGTATTTGGTGTGCCTTGCCAAATTGTTTCTTATCTGGTTTCGATAATTACTAGGATAAGCAGACATGGCTATTGAGACTTTGAATTCAAAAATTCAGTTTTGTTTAAAGGTTTAACTAAAGTAGTCTTTAGGTTGCTGTACTGCATATTTCTAGGAAACGTGTTTCTTTTTCCTTGAGATTGTGTGATGCTATAAGATAATTCTTTGCCGTGTTTCCGAGATGATTGGGATTCAGCAATACTAAGTTTTGGTATTATAATAATTGTTTTAAATGGAATTATTAATTATAAAAGTGGGGTTCAAATTAATAATTTATTTCACTCAACACTCAATTAATTATTTTCCTTTTTTGGCAAATCATTGATATCGTCTATTAATTAACTAACGTACAATATCTTGTATACGTCGTCCCAGTGCGGAATTCAGAGTGTGCTGAGGAATACTCAAAATAAAATTCTACATAAACTTTCTGAAACAGTCTATTCTCTTGTTACTAAATCATAGTCATGCTTACATGAGTTGCTCATTGACCAAATCCCATGGCACCAGTTTGAGACGTTGCGTCTGAATTGAAAGCTCTTTCAAGTTATTGTATTATTTGAAATAAATAACGGTCACTATCATCCTTGTTATCTTTCAGCTCAAACGATCTTCACTTTTATTATTTTGATCTACCCTCTATTTTCTCACGCATTATTTCCCTATTAAAACTTACTCACATTCCAAACTTCTACCTAGTTATTTCTATAACCAACCCTCATTTTCTCCCCCAAAAAAGAACGACACGTTCAAAGACTGGGACACATGAGTTGCTGCTTGCCAAATACCATCGCATGATTGATTATTATGTGCCTCTGTTTTTCTATTTGTTATTTTGTAAAAAGAGTGTTAGAAAATACAATTTTTTATCACACTCTCAATAAATGACTAAAATTTATAATAAAATATGAGTACAGTTTACATAATTTCTATGAATTTTAATAAAATTTAATTTATAATTAAAAGTGTGTTGATGAGCTTTCTCTTTTTGTAATGCAATTCTGAATGAAAACTGTTAGAAATAAAACTATTTTTCTGTAGCATCTGATAACCTAAGACTTTGGGATAGCGTGAAAATTTAAATTCTCAATTATTATATCACTGTATTGTAGATCTAACAATTCTCCTTCCAGTGAGTTCCTATCAGAATTCAGATGCCCATCAACAAATGACAATAATTGAAGGCAACACTATATTTTAAATTTTGTGATTCGTTTTCTTGTGTTTTTTAAGTATTTTCTTTCTCTGTGCTTCGCCCACCAAGTTCTACGGTGGTCTTAAAGTGTCTACATAAGCATGTGACAGTGGACAGTGGTCTTACCTAAATAAGAAATGCCAGTTTGTAAACAACGCACCTGTCTAATTATGATGTTCAACAAACTGCTAATGTTGCTAGGGTCCCAAATGATGTGTGCACATTAATTATTGGCAATCTCACTTGGCACGTGAGTTATTGGCTTTGGAGGGAGGGAAAGATTTAAAAGAAAAAAATCAGTGAAAGGTATGCTAAATATCATATTAGAAGACCCGTCTCTTTATAACCATTTTTAGAGAGAAAAAAAATGGTAAATATCATACGTGAGCCGTGTCCCAAAGTTAAAAGGTTTTATATATCATCTAGTTGACTTTAATGGACCACTGGTTCTGAAGATTAGTCATTAGACAATTACGCAAATATTTGTCGGTATTGGTTCGTGGACTTTGAAAGTGCCATCCACTCTGGCCATGACATTGATAATTCAGTATCCACTGTGAGTAATATTTTCTTGCCCATGCCGCATACTATTGTCGGTCTTAATTGTTATGCTTAATAATCAACAATATTCCACTCTTGTTCAATAAGATTAGGATGTCATTTTCTCCTTACCTTTTTTTTATTTTTTAAAAAATACAATTTATCATGCTCTGAGCGCCATACACCATACACCATACACCATACACGCTCAAAGGATAAAAAGTTTTCTATTTTCTCTAATTGTCATTAGTTGGTGGACCTGAATGGACCACGGTCCCATAAGATTAGTCATTAGATAATAACGCAAAGAATTGGTTCGCTGAACTTTAAAGTGCCAGCCACTCTTGCTTTGACATTTACAACATTAGCATTGTACTTACGTCAATGTTTGACAAATACAATATTATTATTATCTTCCATAATTGATAGCTGTCTGATCGACAACTATATCACGTTTTTCTCCATTCAAATATATAATTTCCTTTTGCAGAAATTCCACAGAGATCTCCCTCCAACGCCTGTCTATGCTTATGGCTTAACCGAACAAAGAGCAACAGTTCCTGGCCCAACCATAGAGGCCCATTATGGAGTTGACACGCATGTGACGTGGCAAAATCACCTCCCTCCGAATCACATACTTCCATGGGATCCAACCATCCCAACGGCACTCACCAACACTACAAAAGGTATCCCTACAGTGGTTCATCTCCACGGTGGGATCCACGAACCCGAGAGCGATGGAAACGCCAACGCATGGTTCACATCCAAATTCAGAGAAAAGGGACCCACTTGGACCAAGAAAAAATATCATTACCCAAATAACCAACACCCGGGTAACCTTTGGTACCATGACCATGCCATGGGGTTGACCCGAGTCAACCTTCTCGCTGGCTTAGTTGGCTCCTACATCATTCGCGACCCTTCCATCGAGGACCCACTTCAATTACCCCATGGAGACGAATTCGATCGACCGCTGGTCGTGTTCGATCGTAGCTTCCGTACGGACGGTTCCATCTTCATGAATTTCACCGGAAACAACCCTTCCATCCACCCTCAGTGGCAGCCAGAGTATTTCGGTGACGCTATCATTGTCAACGGCAAAGCGTGGCCGCGTCTCACTGTACGACGTCGTAAATATCGATTTCGAATAATCAATGCCAGCAACGCTAGATTCTTTAGATTCTTCTTCACCAACGGCTTGAGATTTACACACGTGTCGTCCGATTCTGCTTATATTGAAAAGCCGGTAACGACCAATGAAACTTTGCTGGGGCCATCTGAGATCACAGACGTCGTTGTTGACTTTTCTCAATCGAGGAGCAACATTACTATTCTAGCTAACGATGCACCCTATCCTTACCCAACCGGTGATCCTGTTAATGAAGCTAACAGCAAGGTTATGAAATTTTTCATCCTACCTGATCTAGAGCTTGACACGTCACGAGTACCTAAAACGTTGGTAGAATACCCCGTTGCGGATTTATCCAGTGTGTCGCGCACAAGGTACATTGCTATGTACGAGTACACGAGCGACGTTGATGAGCCAACACACTTGTACCTTAACGGGAAACCGTATGAGGCACCGGTTACGGAAACACCCAAGCAGGGGTCCACGGAGGTGTGGCATGTGATTAACCTGACGGAGGATAATCACCCGCTTCACATTCATCTGGGATTGTTCAAGGTGTTGGATCAGACGGCGCTGCTGAAACCATATGAGTTTAAGGAATGTATGATGAAAATCAACGACGCCGTCAAGTGCCACGTGGACAAGTATGCGCGTGGAAAGAAAGTAGAAGTGCCAGCTCATGAGAAAGGGTGGAAGAACGTGTTCAAGATGATGCCCGGACACGTAACTAGGATTGCAGTGAGATTTTCTTACATTCACACCAATACATCGTATGGGTTCGACGCCACCACAGAGCCTGGTTACGTCTATCATTGTCATGTAAGTACTCTTCGTTTCTTTTATCGTTTCATGGAGGATCGGTGGTATAGCTTTTTAAGCAAGTATTGCATGTTTTTATGGAAAAACGACATACACAGTTTGTAAGCTTCGTATATTTTGATATGCATCGTAGTAACCCACGGCACACACCGTTTCTATGCAGATATTGGACCATGAAGACAATGCTATGATGAGACCCTTGAAAGTTATCAAGTGAGGTCTCCCGAGGAAGCCATTAGCCATGGAATGGTAATATGCGGACAATTAATTTTATTATACTGTTATAGTGTGATCTAATTTCAGCAGTATTTCAAACTTCTAATTCTTGACGATCTATAAACTAGGGAGATTTTGCTAGTGAAAGAAGAATCTTTAGAATGTAACCATATTTAAAAAATAACTACTTGGGTTGACGGAAGCATGCATTTATAATTTTATATTGTTTTCTTGCTTAACTATCCTTGTTTTTTTCTCTCTATACAATAATGAATGCAGGGGCTCAGGTGCTCTCTAAATAGATGCAAAATGTCGTTCATGACGAGATACAAATTTTTCACTTTCTTGGAAGATACAGAGAGACTAGACAGTTTGGCATTCATATAAAAAATAAGCAGATGCAGCAATTTATATTTTTCCAAAAATTGTATATTGTCCTTTTTCTTTTTCGCAAACAATGTTAAAGAAATGCCTAATGTCATTTAATCCTATCCTTATTATATGTATATATTATTTGCAAAAGCACTTGCTATCTTAAATAAGAGTAAAAGCTTTTGCCTTGTTCCATCTCGTAAGTAATCCAATTTTATGTACTGGCGTCAGGCGGTGACTACTGGCTCAATTCGGATTATTTTAGATTGGAATGAGAATAATATTTAATCAGAATTAATTTCATTTATTCTTTTATGATTTGAAATGGATTGAAATTTTATAAGTGATAGTAATTTGTTTTGATTAACTGATAAATACCCTTTTAACTAGTAAAGATGTTATGCTAATACAAAATGTTATTAGACATGATTTGAGATGTTATAGATAATACATTTTAGATCGTGTGGATACCGATGTCACGTAGTGCTTAAAAATGTTTGAGATACTTTTCATAGGACACGCGACACATTTTATGGCACATTTGAGAGTAGAGTAGAAAAATGATTTAGTTTGGGTTTTAAATATGACAATAAAAAATTAGTCTAAATTAATGAATTTTTATTTTCAATCATTTTTTCATTTTTTTCGATTATTTTAATTGTTTAAAACAATTTAAATTTATTTATTTATTGTGAAAAATGTATTTCTTATACACCGTCAGAAAAGCAGAACATGATTCGAGAAAAGCAACCTATGGGGACAGGGGTAATTAGGGCTACAACTCCACCGGCCCAAACTGTAAGTCCAAGCAACCTTCCCTTAATGGGCTACCACTTTTTTGCTGTTAACTAAACCCATTGCACTATGCTTTTTCAACTTGTACACAAAAAACCAAGTCGTTAATTTCAGCTCTGGTTTTTATTTAAAAAAAAAAAAAAACACAGATGGTAGGTTTATTAGAGACCAAAGACAGAAGCATCATTCACGTTGTTGGAAAAAATACATGTCGGGAAAAAAAAAACATTTTTATCTAACTTGTTGTTTATTATTTTTTGTGCTACTTTTTTTTTCTATCCACTTATTTTTTTTATCTAAATGAATAGAGGGAATGGTTTTATTTTTCTCTTCCTAATTTTGCTTATTCGAATATCATATATATTTTTTACACTTTTTAAAATATTTTTTTCTCTTTGTCCGATCCTGATCCAAATACTGACAAAAAGACTTATTTTGCAATAAGGAAGAAAGACAAGACAAGAGTTGTTTGAAGATTCTATTCCATTTAAACTAAGTCTGGTTAAACCAAAACGGGAATGATTAAAATAAAGAGACAAAATTTGTCCTATTTTATTCCATTTCAATAATTTGGTTAGATTATATTTAGGAGTTGGAAATGATTTATTTCTGGACCCCACATTTATATATTTCCTTTTAACCTTGGCTTAAATGGAACGTCAAACGTGTTTTCTTTTTTATCATTTAAGAATCAATTTAATTTTGTATAACAATCTTTTTAAAATAACTAATTTTATATCATGGAAAATTAATATAATGAAAATTGAAGTTAAATTTAAAATTTTAACTTAGTATAGAAAAATGTTGTATCATTCTTTGATTTTTTTTAGAGAATTTTATTGAATTATTATTTTTAACACATTTAAATAATTTAAAATTTATCACCATTTTACCTTTACTTTAATCTTTTAAATACGTTTATTATCATTTTTATTTGAATAATTATTTTTTAAAATATTTGTATTTTATAATTATATATAAAAATGATAATAAACACGTAAAAATCACACTAAAAATACTTATTTATTTCCTTTTCATTTAATGTTCATCCAAAGCATTCAATGGCAACTGCGACGGAAGGGTTCACGAACACTAAAATAGAATCGGGTACACAGCAGAAAACAGGATAACCCCTCGGCTCGTGGCAACCGTCCGATCAATAATCTATGCCAGAGATCACACTCATGATTCATTCGCGCATGTCAATCAGCATCACCTTCCAAAATTCTACGACTCCGTCCTCTTCATCATCGAAACCCTAACCAGTTCCTTCACTGCCTCATCACTTCCTTCTCATTCCACTTTCGGTAATATAAGCTCTTTTCCTCAGATCTGAAATTAATTGTTTTACCTTTTTCTTTCCTCTTTCCCAATGTTTTTTTTTTTTTTGTTTTATTGTTTTATAAGCATATTGTCTGACTCATTTTTCGAATTCCAATCGACACAAAATTGTTCGGTTTTTCACGCTTTTGATTTTTATTTTTTTTTTATGTTTACTTTAGTTGGAAGTTGAGAGTCACGAGGCTCAATCAACGGAAATCATAATCCTGAAAATGGTTTTAGTTGTGATGATTATTAAGGGGCGAGACTGAGAATCGTTGAGAAGTGTTGTAAGTGTTTCCACGTATTTACGGGGTAGTTTTTTTATGTCGTTTCCTTGTGGAAGTGGAGTGCCTGAAATTTATCACGGGATATTTGTATGAATTTGATTTTCGCCATTATTGCTTACGCTGGAAGGGGAGGCGTGGGGTGGCATTTGTGGAGAAATGCCATTTCATGTTGCTGTTTTATTTTATTTTTTTATCATCTCTTACATATTGCTTTTTTTTTTTTATAATAATTTCTGAAACTTTTTAGTAGCTGAAGAAGTAATATTTGCTGTGAACTCGTGACATAACGGGTTGTGAATTGTAAATTTGTAGTGGCTGACCTGCTTTAACCTTTAAAGGAGTTACTTCATAGATAAAATACAATTGTTTGTCAACAATGAATGAAAAATTTGAAGATAGAAGTAAATATGAGTGGTTCCCATACGATATAATAAGTGAGAATTTAGTCACGGTCATATGTACATACCACTAGTACATAGCCAGGGTTTCTTTCTTCCACCTAGTATATTGTTATGACTTATCCTGCTGGATACACGAGAATGATTAAATGAATGGACTAAATGTAAAAAATTAATATGTTTTGTCATGCGTTCTATTAATATAATCCCTATATCTGCAGCTCAACCAGAAAGATACTCTAGGGCCAGGGCCAGGGCCACCTAATGATAAGATTTCCAACGTCTGCTTAAGTTGCCATTGATACTTTTTAAATCAAATGGATTCTGTGCCTTCTGATGTGTCTAATTCACCTCCTATTAAAGATCCATCCACTTCACCTCCTGCCAAAGAAACTGATGAAGAAGTTTCTGCTACTGTAGTCTCTGGGCAAGATAATTCTGCACATGAGTCATCATCAAGGTCATCTCCTACTGGCATATCAACTTGGGCAAAAAACTTGAAAATTTCTCACTCATTTTCTGGTTCCCAAGACGACTCACCAGGTGGAAATGTTGGGAAATCAACTTTTGCACGCATCACTAGTAATTTGGGATTGCGATTGTCTCCTAAATCTCCTGTTTCAGATGACAGTTCCAATGAAACAGCCGTACAATCTAATTTATTTGGAACGATCACGAAAGGCCTTGTTGACTCCTCTAAGAATGCAGTGAAAGCTGTGCAGGTTAAGGCTCGACATGTTGTTTCACAGAATAAACGCAGATACCAGGTATTGTTATTGTTCAAACTAATTTACTGTGTTTATTCTTGTAAAGCTTCTTTTCAGAGAACCATACTTGGAAAAATTATTGTTTCTTCCATCGGGAACATTGCTTAAATCCCTTAACTATCGGGTGAAGCTCATCTTTGGAGCCTATTCATAGATACCTTTTGCGATATAACAATTATTATCTAATGTAGAAGCAAAATCAGGTTGAACAATATTTTTGTTATCTGGCTTTCTAGATCGGATCTCATAGCTGGTATTGAATTTATAAAAGCCCTGAAATTAGCTGACATTCATCTATTCCCTGTTAAAACTTGTCATATAATTTATTGTTCTCTATGATGAAGATTCTAGCCCCTTTGGTTGACAAAAGCTGTTAGAATTTTATTATGTAATTATTGTTGTGACTGGTGAGTATTGCGATTGATTTTCGTATTTCTTTGTTTCCTTCTGAATTCTATCAAAGAACCATGTTGATGCACACTCTTGTCCTCTTTAATGCTCTTTACTTTTTTCAGGAAGGAGGTTTTGATTTAGATATGACATATATCACTGAAAACATTATTGCAATGGGATTCCCTGCTGGTGACATGAGCTCTGGGTTTTTTGGTTATGTTGAAGTGAGTTAATGAATTCTGTATATTGTTTATTTTGGTTGCTGTCTTCATCTTGAACACCAGCATTCCAACTACCTATATATGTAATGCAGGGATTTTACAGAAATCATATGGAAGAAGTGATTAAGTTTTTTGAAACTCACCATAAGGTAGTACACATGCTCTGACACTTGAAGTTATACGTTCATATGTTTGAGCCTTTTTTTCTCTTTTTAGTTTGTTGTTGTTGTTGTTGTAGTTTGTTTATAATACAAAATCAATGTTGTATTGTATGGATTTTTTAATTTCATTTAAGGATGTCTATAGTATAAAATATTTGTATGTTATTCTGAATGCTTGTTTAATTTGGTCTCTTGGAAGTGAATGCTACTTAGAGACACACAATCCCCCGCCCCTCATGTTGGGCATGGATTTAGTTCTTCCAAAGTAAGCAGGGCACCAGTTCTACAGTTGAGATTTTAACAACTGCATAGTTTGTTATACATGTGCATGTATTTTACCATAATTTCAATTGCAATTTCTAATTAACAGTTCTAGCTCCATTTTATCCTCTAAAGTGTGCGCTCCTTCACTTTAGAGGCGCCAATTTGCTAGCCATATTCAGTTAGGAACCACAATATGAGAGATGAACCTAGAGGACAGATGGTGGAGGCTGAAAGGTGAAGAATTGGAAGGTATACACAAGAAGGCCAAACAAAGAAAGTAGTTGATGTGGCAGGGCCTAATGGGAGTTTGTTGCTCAGTAGCACCTAGGTTTAGTGGAATAAGCGTTATAATTTTGGGGAGGGTAGTTAGAGGTGAGAGGTGCAGATGATTATTCTCATGTTCAGCTGTGAGCTGAGTGCAGAGGTGGTATGCTCTGTAGTGGCTTTGCTCTGAGAAAGTGTTAGTGGTATCCTTTACATTTCTGCTCTGTCTTTTTCTCTTTCTCTAATCCCTTTATGT